CAGGCAGCGCGGCAGATGAAGTACATCCTGGTCACGGGCGGGGTGATCTCGGGCATCGGCAAGGGCATCATCGCCAGCAGCATCGGCACCATCCTCAAGTCCTGCGGGCTGCATGTCACCTCCATCAAGATCGACCCCTACATCAACATTGACGCCGGCACCTTCTCGCCCTACGAGCACGGTGAGTGGCCCCGAGCTGGGCACCGGGCTCTTCCAGGTGGGCTCCAGGGCTGGCTCTGCCTGGAAGGACCCAGCTCCTTCGCCTGGCGCAAGAGTTTGGTCCCTGTCAGTGGTTCTGGACTGACTGGTGGGGCTGATCGTGCCACCAGCGAACAGCAGAGATGGTTCTCTGGTCTTTCATCATTGCAGCCTGGTTGAGGGATCCAGTCCTCTTAGTTGTAGAAGGCTTGTAGTTTTATTAGCCACTCCTAAACTTGCTGTAGCAATCAGACAAGGTGTTTCCTTCCATTGGATTCTTCCAGCTGCCGCAGGCAAACCCAACAAATTGCTGATGTGGACCGTTTCCCCTTGACGTGTGCGTTTGCGCCTTTTTCCGTGTGCTGCAGGGGAGGTGTTTGTGCTAGATGATGGAGGGGAAGTGGACCTGGACCTTGGCAACTATGAGCGCTTCCTTGATATCCGACTCACCAAGGACAACAACCTGACCACCGGGAAGATCTACCAGTATGTCATCAACAAGGAGAGGAAAGGAGACTATCTTGGCAAAACCGTCCAAGGTGCTGTGAAGCTTTGTTCCTGCTGCCTAGAAATATATTCTGTGTTTCTGTCCTGGTTGGATGCTTTTGCATTTCATAGAATCATAGAATCGTGGAATGGTTTGGGTTGGAAGGGACCTCAAAGATCATCTAGTTCCAACCCCTGTGCCATGCGCAGGGACACCCTCCACTACACCAGGTTGCCCAAAGCCTCATCCAACCTGGCCTTGAACTCTTCCAGGGATGGGGCATCTACAACTTCTCTGGGCAACCTGTATGTGCCAGTGCCTAATTTCATCCTAACTTGAGGTCTTTGTTATATGCTGTCCTTGCCATGTTTTTTGTTTGTTTGCTTTCATAAAAGGGGAAGTAGAAGATGTGCCAGTGCAGGTGTAGTGGCACGTGCCATACTGAATCAGGTTACCTGTAAGCTCCTCAAAAGTTTCCAGTGCTCAGCAACATGCTGCCTATCGTTGGGACTATATGCTGGACCTGGTTCCAGCTGTCTAACATAGCCAATGGTAAATGTGAACTGACTAGAGACCAGCACAGCTTGGATTATTTGTTAGCTGGTTAAAATGGTTATTGCTTTTGATAACTGTCATGTAATTAGAAAACCCAAAGGATCTTTGAGGATCAGATCAGTCCCTTCCCTTTTTAAGCATCCTCCACAGCTGGTTTGGATAAGGACTTTTACCGACTGTTTAAAACAGAGTAACTCTCTCTCCTTATAGCAGAGAACCGTTTGTGCTTGAATCCTGCAGCTTAAAGGAAACGTCGCTTACATGTGTTTAAATCGAGGCAGGATTACATTTCCTGCCAAGGCACTGCTCTTGAAAACACAGCCAAGAATAATCACTTCAAAAATGCATACTTCTGTAAAGACACGAGTCGGTGCTGAAGTGATAGGGGAAGCACTAGCTAGTTAGTTTCAATAATTCGCTCTGTAAGGAGTTAGAGGGAGAAATGTGCATGGGTCGTGGCTTTTACCCTTGCCTGACTTTCTTTTTCAGTTGTTCCCCACATCACAGATGCTATACAGGAATGGGTAATGAGGCAGGCACGAATTCCCGTAGATGAAGATGGCATTGAACCCCAAGTTTGTGTGATTGAGGTTTGTAACCTTAAAAAAAAAAAAGAAAAAGTTTTGCTTCTTGTATGGAGTAAAGTGAACTGTATGCATATTTTGCATAATAAAATTTTTTTACAGTAATGTTCTACTTTGCATGCTGTCAAATTGGTTAAAAATCCCCCCTTGCTAGCCTCTCTTATTTGGTTGAATCTTTCGAATGCTCTGTTTCTGAATCCACATCTAGAAAGACGTAGGTCCTGGACAGTTACATTTTTGAGATGCTTTGCTCTCTAGTGTAATGTGAATTAGTCTATGGAATGAATTTTAGCTCTTTTAAGTACATACTGAAGTCTGAGTTAAGCATGCTCTGCCCTCTTCTCCCTTAGTGGATAGAAGGAGGGTGGGCAAATCACCCTCTGGATGCAGTTGTCTTTCCTCCTCAGCAGTAAAGGCAGCCTGGAGCTGACTAGCTCAAGCACAGCCCTAGAGAAGGGAATCGCACAAGTCAGCAGTCACAAACTCCGTTCAGTTTCCTGCGCGTGGCACGGGATCTCCTGCTGCCAGAGGAGACCGCAGACTGGCAGGATGTGCTAATGCAGGAGAGCAGGAGCTGGTCAGAGTGCCCGGGTCATGGTGACCTGGGATTCTCCCTGTGGCTTGAGTGCCAGTTTCTGTTTCAGGATTCACAAGCCGGGATCCTGAAGTACCTAGGAGGCACGGGAGGCTGGCTGTGCTCCAGAGAGTGCCTCGTGTCGCTGTTCCGGCGTGTGCCCAAACCCCACTCCACATAGTTACCATAACAGAAAGTTTGCTTCTCAGTGCCACCTCATGTTCATAAACCATAATTTTAACACCTAAATGTTTTCCCTGAAGAGAGAATACAGGCAAAAGCAAATGCCTCTGGAGAGGTGCTGCCCATATGAGAAGCAGTTTTTCTTGAGGCTTTTGATTTTTGGGGAAATCATGAAGGTAAAGTAGTAGCTGGGGTAGATTGGAGGCTGTGGTAGTACATAGAACTGGCAAATCCTGCTTTTCATATGGGTGTTGATGCTCCTTTAGGGAATCGGAGGGAGGTGCTGGGGAGATGTTTAGTGTCCTTTTATGTGTCTTTTAGCATGCTTTGGTGTACAAATTCAGTAGGTGATGTTTTGGTGCTAACTTTAATTCTAAATGTCTTTGTCTTCTTCAGCTTGGTGGGACAGTAGGCGATATTGAAAGCATGCCTTTCATTGAAGCGTTCCGCCAGTTCCAGTTCAAAGCCAAAAGAGAGAATTTTTGTAACATCCATGTCAGCCTCGTTCCCCAGGTAAGGACCCAAAATGTTTTGATGGTCAGGAGTTTCCCCAATCCAAAACTTGCTTTCTAAATATATATTTCTGAAAGGCTATCTCTATAGGCACTGTTGTATTTCTATATGTAGAAACTTCTGGAAGAAATGCAGAGACTGTATGGTTACATATTTAAAAAGGTTTGCAAGAAGCGAAGGGAAACTTCAAAGTGTGTAAATGTGTAATAAATAGTTGGGAGTAGCAGCAAATGCAGTTTTGCATCTTTAACTGCTGTTTTTCTCTGTGGAATTAATTGTCTCCTAGCTTTTGCAGGTAAACTTGCTTTCCATTTGCATAGCCTTTCATTTCTGCAAAGCTAACAGAAAATTTGGTGATACAGCCAGACTGCACAGCCAGTTGGACTTATTAATCAGATCATATTCCAAGCTTTTTGTGCAGTTCTTTAATATTTCTGTTGCTGTGTGCCTTCCCCTCCCAAGATTTACATTAGCTGTAGTTCATTAAATAGGTTGAGTTAACTTTTGCAATTTCAAAACATCATACTGTGTTTTGAAATACAATCTGTTCGGGTTTTTTTTGTTCGCGTTTTTTTCCCCCTAGACAGTATTTTTAATGTAGGTTTTGATCTTTAACAGTGATTTCATGGGCTTTCACGTCTGACTGCTATGCAAGCCATAACAATCTGAGTGGCAGTTGCCCTTGTTTCAGAGATTCAACTAAGAAAAGGTGTTATGAAGCAGTGCTATGATAAGAGTCAGTTAATTAGGAATCACAAAGAAAAACAACGTATCCTTATGTGCCAAGTCGATGGGTGAGCTCCGGTCGATATCAAAAACATATGAAGGTGTTTTAGGCCATATAATGCCTGATACAACCTCGTCTGTATTATCTGCTCTGCTTTTGGAGACAATTTACACTCTTAACCAAAGAAAAAAATGTGCACTGCAGGAGTCACTGCTGAAAAAATCCTTCCATGGTTATGTTAACAGTTTTGGGGAGCATGAGTATGCCTTGTCTCGGAACTGGGTTTGACAGAGCAACTTGATAGCTACTGGAGTGCAGATCAGTCTTCGTTCTCCTCTTCTCTCTCTGTCTTTCTCTTTCTGTCCAGGCCAGGTGTTTTATGGAGAAAAAATTAGAAATAGAAAACATGAGGTATTTGGAGAGAGCAGTGGATAAAAACCCTAAGAGCTCTGCTCTCTCCTTCCCTCCCTGTAACGCATACCTGCTTACTGTACAGACTTGAGCTGTGGTTTCTGCTGGTTGCTTTTAGTCTTTGAGATTAAAATAACACTATACAGAGTTATTTAAGGTTTGTGAATTGTCCAAGAACTGAGTAAAAAGTTTTACAAGATCAGTGGGGTGGAGAGTCCCAGTTAGCCTGATGTGTCATTGCCACGTATCATCATAATTTGATATACCAACTTGTGCTCTTCTCTGACCAGCCAAGCTCTACAGGAGAGCAGAAGACTAAACCCACCCAAAACAGTGTTCGTGAACTCAGAGGTCTTGGTCTCTCACCAGATCTGGTAAGGTTTGCTTCGTGGCTTTGAATTTGAAAATGCACTACTGGCATGTTGCGACAAGATCCAAGCCCAAATAATGCTTAGGGTGAGAGCTCGTGTCTATTAATAATAAACCAGTAAAAGTAACAGAGTTGGGTTTTTTCTCCAAGTCACAGAGACTGCAGAAAGCTTTTTTAGAGCTTTGTTACACGAATGTCTAGTGCTTCTGTTTTGCTTCACAGCCTTGATGTTGCTGTTCTGTTAGATTGTTTGCAGGTGCTCCACTCCACTGGATACCTCAGTAAAAGAAAAGATTTCCATGTTCTGTCATGTTGAACCTGAACAGGTAAAGATTGCTGTCTGCACTTCCTTGCAATAAATATTCTAGTGGTTTGTCAGACGCTGAGTGGAGTTTGATCTGAGCGTGGCGTTTTTTGTGTTCTAGCTGTGTCTTTTGTTAGCTGCATAATTCATTTACTGCTTTGTCTTACCTACATTCCTTACACATGTAACTCTGGCAAAAATAGTTCTTTTTATGCCAGCACACAGGTTTTCTTATGAAGTGGTTAGCATGGGCTTAGAGAATTCTGTGGAATCCGAGGTATTTTCTGAATAGTTGGCTTTGACATTAGTTATGCTTCTACGTTCCTTCTGTGAATGCACAAGAATGGGATTTTTCAGTATTAGAGGCCAAAGAATAGTTGCTCAGGTTTAAAGGATACAGGAATGTATTTTGTACACTGCTCTTTTCATGATATTATTCTTCTGCCCGAGATTGCGTGAGGAGAGATTGTACAGAAAAGCTGAAATGGTGTTTGAGAGAAGCATTGCTTCACTTCAGTGTTATGCGATATGCAAAAATTCCATGTTAGCATGATTCTTCTTGTACTGAGACTACTCTGCCTAGCACAGTCTGAGCTCGACCTTGGAAAATCATCAAACAGTCTGTAGGCTAAATGCTACCACTTCCCAATCCAGCTGGAGCTTGAAAAATTTGGTCCTTTTGTGGAAGACTGAGTATCACTTCACAATTCCAGGCTCTGTCAAGTCAGCTTTACTCGTTTCCCATACAGCAAGATAAATCTGAGCCTTGTAGCTTCAAATGTGACCTTCAGAATTAGCTGGCAATAACTGGCGTGTCGGCAGTACGATATCCAGCTCCTGTTGGCCAGGAATTGAACGGAAGCTGATGGTCACTTCCGAGGAAGTTTAATGCAGTTTTACACAGGTGTTTCTCCGACTGCAGTTGCACTCGAATGGAGAAGTAGATACTATTGACTGTCAAGGAGCAGAGTTTGCAGCCTGGAGGGTTTTACTGGTGCAGTGTTGAACTCTGCTTTCCTTTGAGTCAGGAGAAGTGATGATTTAAAAATAGTTGTGCCAGTATATTTTTGACCCTTAAAGTACAGTCTCACTGTTGATGGACAGGTGGCAGTTGTCCAGAGCCGTCTTTCCTTCTCTGTAGAAGCCCATTTCAGTGAACTAGAACCATTGACATAGATATTCCTCATGGACCTAAAAATTCTTTGGTTGTAGTTGTTTAATCCTAAGTTTGATGTAAAACTTGTTGTTGTATTGAGATGACAGATTTCCCTGGACTTTCATCAAACTGCGAACCCTGGCTAAGAAGGACAGTGGTGGGAAATGGGGAAGCTGGGCTTGTGGGCAGTGGAACTGTGGTTTCAGTGAGGATTACCAAGCAGCTGTATCACAGGAGAAGTCTCTTGGAAGCGTTGGGTGAACTTTGCCATACGCTGGCATAACTGGCATAGCAGCTGACTTTCTTCCTGCCAGGTTATCATGTTAGAGCCCTTCTCAGAGAGCTCCAGGGAGCAGTAATGCCTGGGAAGTGTTGAAGGATGACCTTTTCAAGTATGTGGAAACAAGTACTGAGCTATCTGTGTGTTGTTATGGTATTCAACAGATGTTATTTCCTGGAGGTTTAGGTGGTCATATGGTTGTCTGCTAGAGATAAAAGCTCTCTTAATATCTGTCTAAAAATAATTGCACAGGCACTTAGATCTGTTTTAGTGACATTCATATTTTATGAACAGGTCATCTGTGTTCATGATGTCTCTTCCATCTACCGAGTTCCTCTGTTGTTAGAGGAGCAGGGAGTTGTTGACTACTTCAGACACAGACTTGACCTTCCCATTGAGAGGCAGCCCAGGAAGATGCTCATGAAGTGGAAGGAAATGGCTGACAGGTGAGCTGCACCACTGGGCCTATTTTAAATTAAGACTCCAGATCAGTTTCTCGTCTTGGTTATTAGGTGATAAGTTCAACCATATTCATGTTCCTCAAGCATTCTCATGTGGTCAATTTTTTTTCTTCTTTTTTTAGTGCAAAAATGCATTTTTTTCCTAGATGTTTCTGTTTAAAAAAAAAAATTCTTTAACATGAGAATCCTGTAAGATGTTACTGAGTTCCTTATCTCGTGTTGGTAGTGTACTATGTCAAAACCAGTCTGAAGTAATTAAAAGATGGACAGCTCTGCCCTCCCCTTTTCTACAGAAAAACCCAATGACATTACAAAGTGTTGAAATCCTTTTGTAGGCATGTGTAGAAGTCATCAGGAGCATCCAGAAAAATGTATCTTTTGAGTATCCTTTCAAGCCAGTGAAACAACTGGTTTGTAACTGTTCTGTCTGAGACTCCTCCGACATTGTTTTTTTTTTCTTGTGGGGAATAGAATCATAGAATCATGGAATGGTTTGGGTTCCAAGGGACCTCAAAGATCATCCAGTTCCAACCCCCTTGCCACAGGCAGGGAAACCCTCCACTGCACCAGGTTGCCCAAAGCCGAACAGACTCCGTGTTGGTGGGAGATAGTGAATTGAATCTTTTCAGCTGGCGTTCAGGCCCTTTCTGAAGCCACAAATATGTTTGCCTTTATACGCACGACACAAGCCACCACTTTCAAGAACACTTTCTTTCGACAGGGAAAGCTCCTGGTAACCAGCTTGTGTGAAGGTACATGGCAATTTTGAAATAAACTTTAAACAATCCCTTAGCTGTAGCCAGGAATGCTGTGTCAATCCCGTGCTGTCAGATGCTGCGGACTGAAAGTGCAGGCAGCAGAACCCTGGCGCTCTGGAAGTGCTTTCTGTGTGTCTAGCTGCTGAAGTGAGCTCGCCCAGAAGCAGCGTGGGAAGATCCTGTGCAGGATAAACACCGCAGAGTCGTGCTTTGATCCTCTCTCCTAATTTACTGCAGGCTTTGAGTCTAGTACAGTGTCCTGAAGAGACAGCTCGCATCTACTCAAAATGGCTTTTCATCATAAGGAGGCATGAGTTAATTTATACATGACTTTCTGCAACTCTTTGTCATTTTTTTTTCTTTTCCTTTGTTCTATTCTTGCTTTCATGTTTTTAAGTCATAATTGTTACAAAAGGTCATCTCTTCCAAAGTCGTCATCTCTGTAGTTGGACAGGTTTTCAAGAGCTCAACTGTTTATATTACTTGAGAAGCTGAATAGAATGTAAGTGATTCTTGCCCCCATTTCAAGTTAATGACTAAATATCCCTTGTGTTTTGATTTTGTTTAGGTATGACCGTCTCCTTGAAACATGTTCCATTGCACTGGTTGGCAAATACACCAAGTTTTCAGATTCCTATGCATCTGTCATTAAAGCACTGGAGCATTCTGCACTGGCTATCAACCACAAACTTGAAATTAAGGTAGGGGAGGGTGTGTGTGTTAAAAAAACCCAAAAAACCAAAACAACAAAATAAAATTCCCTCCTGATACTCCTTCCACCAACAGCACTACCCATCTTAATTAAGTTTTTCACAAACCCGTAGACAGTAAGGGAGAGTTGATTCTGCCAGTGAACTTTAAATTTCTCCTTGAATTACAGCATCAAAACATCTCTTGCCAGGCATGAAACAGCTTCAGAGCAAAGCAGCCTTTCATCCTGTGAGACACACAGGACTCTTCAGTGCTCGGTGCTGTGTGCTGGACCGTGATGGAGCAGCAGATGTATTGGAGGAGGGGACTGTTCACTGTAACTTTTCTGGCGGTTGTTGAACATGACCCTTTTTTTAGGGCTGTTGTTGTTGTCTTTGTGGTACTCACAGGTTTTAGGATATTTCTGCCTCAGACTTTATTAAGGTTTTAATGCTGGTTTGGCTGCACAGGTGCTTTTTAAGGGTTGTAGCTAGATGCTCAGAAGAGGTGAAATATGTATCTGTTGTCAGAAATTTTACTTTCATTTAAATGTCCAGCCGTTTCATGATGCTGGTGAGTCACGGACGTAGGTGCTTGCTTTGTAACAGCACTGCTCTACATTTGGGTTACCATTCAACTTGCAAAATCAGTAGAGGAGAAAAGAAGAAAAGCAAGTAAGACTGGTGAAGGGTAAACCCTGCACACGCGTCTCTGGGTAGTTCCTGCCACAGCTGTGTTTCTATGGTTCAGATGGGCAATGGGTTCTGTGAGATCTTACGTTGGTTTAAAGAACTGGTTAGCAGTATTCCAAGCTTTAAAAAAGAGAAAAAAAAAAAAAAGCCAAGACAAAAATGGTTGTTCAAAAGAGTAAGCAGACTGCCAGAACATTCAGCTGTTCAGAGAGACTGGAATACTGGAGATGAGAAACTGGAAAATTTGCATTTTTTTCCATATGCAACATTGGTCATAGCATCCTTTAATTACCACAGCCTGTGTTTCACCGTGTCCTGTTTGTTCTCCAGTCTCTCTTGAAGATTAAGCGAAGTACATTTGATGAGAGAGCGATGCCGTTGTTTTCTTGCTGTGCGGCTGTGTCTGTCTGCGTAGCCGTGTGCTCCCATCTGACTGTGCTGCACTAAGGCTTCACATTTAAGGAGTCTGGGTCTTATGGACATCAGCTTCATTTATGTGACAGCAGAGCTGCAGAGAAGGGAAGATACCAAACAAAATTCTGTTTGTGCATCTGTAGTATGATGGTGCTGGAAAGCAGTTTTGTTGACTAGCAGACGGGAAGTCAGCCCAGAAAAAAACATAAGCAGGTATCTAGTCAGAAACAAATCCAGACCTCTCCAGGAGGAATGATAGTATCTTAATTTAATAAGAATTAAGGAGACTCTGTATTTACACTCTTGTGGCAGTATCTCATCATCCTTTTTTGGATTTCTTCCCAGTATATTGACTCTGCTGACTTGGAGCCAGATACTCTGCAGGAAGAACCTGTCCGATACCATGAAGCATGGCAGAAGCTGTGTGGTGCTGAGTAAGACTCTTAAGCTCTGGCTGTTTCTTTGGAGCATGTCTGATAAACTTGCTGCTTTTGACAGTTTTGGAATTAAGAACCTCACTGGAGACTCTCTTAGGCGCTGTACCAGCACACTCTGACATTGCCCCAGATACCTCTCAATGAAATTTAGAATAAGGTGCAAAATGAAGAATTGTGAAAGGCAGCAGCAGGGGAGATGATCGTGCAGATGAGGATGTGCACAGGCTTGGGGAAATGGAGTGAGAGGAAATAAGGGGAAAGGATAGGCACTGGCAAAGGTTATTAAAGCCAAAGAGAGAGGACAGAAGGTGTAAATGTGGTACAAAGTTCTTTAGGAAGAAAGCATGAGAAGGGAAAAAGCGTTAGGATGCAGAAGAGTGCTAGAGTTAGCCCAGAAACCAAGAACAAGTGGGGCTTCCTCAGGGAAATAGGCTTTGGGTGGAACCAGGAGAATGAAAACCTTGGGCAGGATTTGGTGTCCGTGTCCCTGCAGTCAGGATGATTTGGCACAGGAGCCAGCGGCTTCCTCAGCATGGCCTGGCTGGGCGATCCGTTTGCAAACATGTTTGGTGCAGAGCACCTGGGTCGTGCCCCATGAGCCATTCTGGTATTGTAACCTGCGTTGTATTTGGGATTTCTCTGGAAGGTAAGATGTGCCTTTATAAAATGCTTCCCTGAAAGTTCTGTGACGTTTTGCGTGGCGGCTCGTGTGAAGCACGAAAACCCTGCTGCAGGCAGGCCTTGCCACGTGGGGAGCTTCAAAGCCCTTTCGGGAGTGAGGTCATGCAGCCCAGTATTTTATGGGAGAGGGGTGGTACCTGGCTGGGGGAACCGTGCTGGTGAGCCCTGCGTGAATGGAATCTTTTCATCCTCATGCAGCGGAGTTCTGGTTCCTGGTGGATTTGGCGTTCGAGGGACAGAAGGCAAAATCCAAGCTATTTCCTGGGCAAGAAAACAGAAAAAACCCTTCTTAGGTGAGAAACACGTTTCATCCATAAAAAGAAATAAAGAACAGGAGGGGTTAAACAACAGCCTAACTTGTCTGCAAGAGCTTTCCTGATTTTCGTGAGTACCTAGACTGTGGAATTTTGAAGATAATGGGCTGAGGAAGGCAGTGATTATGCTCAGCTTAACTGGGCAAGGCAGCCATCATCTGGAGTTAGCTCCCAAGGGGTCAGAGTTGGCTGGGATGCGATGACATGGAATCTTCATAACGAGGGGGCGGGAGTCTCAGAGGAGGCTGCTGTGATTGCGGCACGAAGAAATATGTGACTGCATGATACGGGATGGACACAGTGAGAGGTCGGAAATGGTGTGTGAGCAGAGTGGCTGGGGAAGGGAGGTGTGGAGTAAAACTTGTCAGAACTACTTGGTACAGAGTGACCAGACCCCTGAATCCGAGCCAAAGGTCTGTCTCATCCAGGTTTTCCTCTGGCTCAGGGCTGCTCTGTGAAGGTGTGTGTGCTTTGGGGTAAGGCTCAGGGGTCCTTGTCCTGACTTGAGCTGTGTTCTGCCTTTCCTTCTGCAGGAGTTTGTCTGGGAATGCAGTTAGCAGTTGTGGAGTTTGCACGCAGCGTTCTTGGTTGGCAAGGTAATGCCATAAACCCTTCTTGGGTTTTGTTCGTTTCTTTGGTTGCTTGATTAATACCTGTAAATTTTCATTTCTCATTGGTAGGTAGATTTAATTCTTTTCCTAGGCCTGTAAAATTCCCCATCTCCTTTGCTAATCCAAAGGAAAAAGAACAATTTCCATGTCTTACTCAAATAAAAATGAATGGAGTAAGGCATGCTTATAATGACAGAAAACTTTCTGTTGCTTAGTGAGGTTCATCTCCTGAATAAAACACCTGAGTGGAGTTGTGCCTATGAGTGCTGGACATCCTAAATTCCCATGATAGCCAGTGGGAATGACGACCAAAAAGCACTTCAGCTGACCCTGCAGTTGCACCTGCTTCAGTGAGCTGAATTGCTGGGCTCCACTGCTGGAACTGACTCGGTCCCTGTGGTCAGAACTCCCTTCACAGGGTGCTACATCTAGCTTCTCCGCCTGATTCCGAGTCTCACTAGTAGTGACGGAAGGGGAAAACGTGTTTCTCGGAGTACTTCTGCTCCCTTCCCCCTCCCTGGCTTTATGGAAAACATTCTCAGCTGTTGAACGTGCGCTTTTCCTGAACGACCCTGGCCCTCGCTTTCAGTACCGATTGCACTAGGCTGGGTGCCCCAAGGTTGCAGCCTCCAGGTAGTTTCAGAAGTTCACATCAAACAATGCTGACAGTCCTTCTTCTGCTGTCAGAGCTCGGTGCAGGTGAGGGGCTCAGCACAGTTCATGGGGCTGCTCGCCAGAAGTGTGGGGACGAGACACAGCTGTACCTGGGGAGGGAGGTCCTGCAGTTGCATGTCATGGTTATGGAGGACTTGGTGTTTCTGATTGATGAATGTGACATTGCAGATGCTAACTCGACAGAATTTGACCCCAAAACTGCTCATCCAGTGGTGAGTTTATGGCAACTTGCTTGCAATATCCTTGCTGTGCTAGACTTCTCTGCACATACCTGTTGGTACAGTTAGGAGCTTGGATTATTATGTCTTGTGGCTTTTAAGTCTGTCTTCCATCATTTAGTAAAAATCTGAAAAGAAAATGGCTTTGCCTAGTTAACTGTATGGCTGCTTCATAGAAGATTGCAGTGCTTATTATAGGTGAAACACTTTTTTTTATTATTTTTGATTACACTTTTTTGTAAAGCAAGGTGTTTTCTGAGAGGTAAAAGGGTCTTAAAGGGCACTTTGAAAGCTAACTGGTATCACAGAATGAACGGTAAAGATTTGGTGATATCCAGATTCCACTGCGTAGCTGTTTAATTATGATCTCAGAAATTAATAGAGACAGACGTGAATTCCTCGGAATGTTTGCAGACACATTTCTGAACCTGCATATCTTAGACTAGGGGCTCCATGTGGCCTGTCCAGGGTCCACCATAATGACTGGCTTTTGCTATAGTTTAAAATGCTGCTTGAAAGGAAGAAGTTCTCAAGAAAACAGCTTATGAAGTTATTTACCAAACTATTAGTGATTCTGATTTGGGGATTTTGTTTCTGTAAAGTTGCTTGTTTGTTTGTTTAACATGTAGTTCAGTAAATAGCACATGGTGTGTGGGATCTGTGTAGGCTTTGACTGAGACCATTTCCTATGCTAAAGCTCCTGAGCACCTGCAAACCTTCCAAATGTTCTGTACAGCCTTTACTAGAAAAACTCAACTAAACAATCTAGTTCTGTTTGTCTGCCTTGTCAAGACAATGTTCCTTGGAGTGGTTTGCTTGTTTTCTGTATGGATGTTGGGTTCCGCCCCCCCCCTTTGACATTTCAGAGTCTGCCTGGGACTGTTACTCCTCCCTCATTCCCACCTCCCTGTCTGAATGCTTTTTGCAGGTCATAGACATGCCAGAACATAATCCTGGGCAAATGGGTGGGACCATGAGGCTTGGCAAGAGAAGAACACTCTTCCAAACCAAGAATTCAATCATGAGTAAGGCATTTCTTAGCTCTTTTGGAAGTGTTTCCTGGGAACGATGTGCATCTAAGGTGGGTATGGGGAATTGAGACCTGGGGATGTCAAAGCGTCCTTGAATGGTCAGTGTTTGCAGACTTTGTTCTGGTAACAAAATGGAGATCTGTGAGTTTAGTCCCCTCTAGAAGTGGCAGATTCTGATGGATGCTCTTCATATGAACTTGTTTGCACAATGCCAAGTTTTAACTGTTTGGCATTTACTCTAAGAAATGTCTCT